TTATTATTATACAGGATTAATATATTAGTATTCAGGATTGATTTATTATTATTATACAGGATTTATATATTCAGGATTTATTTATTCAGGATTTTTTATTATTATTATTATTATTATACATGATTTATATATTCAGGATTTTTTTTTATTTTATACAGGATTTATATATTAGTATTTTACAGGATTTATATATTATTATTATACAGGATTTTAGTATTATTATACAGGATTTTATATTATTATACAGGATTTATATATTATTATTATTATACAGGATATTATTATTATTATACAGGATTTTATATATTATTATACAGGACTTGTATATTATTATTATACAGGATTTATATATTATACAGTATTATACAGGATTTATATATTTATACAGGACTTATATATTATTATTATACAGGATTTATTTTTTTTATTATACAGGATTTATATATTATTATACAGGATTTATATATTATACAGGATTTTATATATTATACAGGATTTATATATTATCTACAGGATATTATTATTATTATTATACAGGATTTATATATTATACAGGATTTATATATTATTCAGGATTTATATATTATACAGGATTTATATATTATTATTATTATACAGGATTTATATATTATTATTATACAGGATTTATATATTATTATTATACAGGATTTATGGCGCCAACAGTTTGCTCAGCGCTTTACAATATAACGGGAGACAATACAGCAACAATACAGTTCAATACAAGAGGGATAGGAGGGCCCTGATCCTGGGAGCTTACAATCTAAGAGGGATATAATAATTCTACAGCAAACACATGACAGTCATACATTACAGAAATCAATTCAAATGTGGTAACAATTCTGTTAGCAAAACAGCTTGAAATATTCTATATTTGCGCTATTCTCCGGCCAACCGATATCGGACATAAGTGGAACTGCAGCCATTTGTGTCTCTTGATCAATGGGTCCTTCTAAAAGCACTGATCTTTACACTACCCTCGCCATGTCCTTGTGGGGTGAAATCCTGAAATTCCACTTTATGGCTAGGTTCACGCCTTTGCAGGCTGTGTTTGAGCCGTTTCTGCATTCCGTTTTACGTTGCGTTTTTGCGGGGTTCTTTTTCCATTTCGTTTTTTCTTGTTGCTAGGCAGATTTAAAACGTATCAAAAATGCAATACACTCTTTTCTGCAGCGTTTCCATTGAAGTCTATAGAACCAAAAATGCAACTTTTTGCGTTCCAAAAAGTCCCTGACCCTTTCCGAAAAACGCACTGGGTGAAAACGCAAAGATGTGAACCTTTCCCATAGGAAATCGTGTTAAATGGTTTGCAGTGCGTTTCTGCAAAACGCTGCAGAAAACGCTCAGGTGTGATCCTAGGGTAGAGGTTCACTTTGGTTGACCTTTAACCCCTCCACCCACCTGAGTGCTTTTCAGAGAGGTGGTGTAGGTAGGTATATAACTAGGTGGGTTGCTTTTCAGAGAGGTGGCACAGGTAGGTATATTACTAGGTGGTGCATGTAGGTTGCTTTTCAGAGAGGTGGTGCAGGTAGGTATACCAGGGTTCAGCAAAATGGATTTTTCTTTTCTTTAAACCATTGGCAACTGGAAAGTTTATTTATTGGCTTTATAGTATGCTGACCAGGTGCCGTTATTTGGCCCCCTGTGCTGCACTTAGATCTACCAAAACTGTACTGTGAGGGCAAAACCCATATCATCCATTCAATTCATATCCAATCTGGCAAACCCTCACCATACCTAGTAGTTGGTAAATCTGAAATCCAATCATACAACCTGATTGCTACATGTATTGGAAGGTTTAGGGCGTATCATGCTGTGCTGTTTGTCATTTCCTATTCTGCTATGTTAGATTTTGTTTTCATATCTCCACCCAAGGGAGAATTTACTGCTAGTTACAGCTTACCTGGGCTGAGTCCTGCAGTTTGCTTTTCCCTGGATGGAGTAATCCCGCCCCCTGCCAAGAGAAATTCATATTTCTGTATCAGTTGGAGCGACAGCACTGCGACATTACAAAGCCAACAGCTCAACCTAGTGTTACTAAACCCCGGACCCTGCATTCACTATATCCGGTCTCGCCGGACTCCTGCATTCACTATATCCGGTCTCCCCGGACTCCGCGCATTCACTCCCCGGACCCCTGGTCTCCTCTCCCCGGACCCCGCGTTCACTATGTCCTGGTCTCCCCCCAGACTCTGCGGTTCACTATGTCTGGTCTCCCCGGACTCTGCGTTCACTATGTCCGGGTCTCCCCGGACCCCCGCGTTCACTATATCGGTCTCCCCGGACCCCGCGTTCACTATATCCGGTCTCCCTGGACCCCGCGTTCACTATATCCGGTCTCCCCGGACCCCGCGTTCACTATGTCCGGTCTCCCCGGACCCCCGCGTTCACTATATCCGGTCTCCCCGGACCCCCGCGTTTACTATATCCGGTCTCCCCGGACCCCGCGTTTACTATATCCGGTCTCCCCCCGGACCCCGCGCGTTTACTATGTCCGGTCTCCCCGGACCCCGGGCGTTTACTATGTCCGGCTCTCCCCGGGCCCCGCGTTTACTATGTCCGGTCTCCCCGGACCCCCGCGTTTACTATGTCCGGTCTCTCCCCGGGCCCGCGTTCACTATGTCCGCTCTCCCCGGGCCCCGCGTTCCCTATGTCCGCTCTCCCCGGGCCCCGCGTTTCCCTATGTCCGCTCTCCCCCGGGCCCCGCGTTCCCTATGTCCGCTCTCCCCGGGCCCCCGCGTTCCCTATGTCCGCTCTCTCCCGGGCCCCGCGTTCCCTATGTCCGCTCTCTCCGGGGCCCCGCGTTCCCTATGTCCGCTCTCTCCGGGCCCCGCGTTCCCTATGTCCGCTCTCCCCGGGCCCCGCGTTCCCTATGTCCGCTCTCCCCGGGCCCTATGTCGCGTTCCCTATGTCCGCTCTCCCCGGGCCCCGCGTTCCCTATGTCCGCTCTCCCCGGCCCCCCCCCGCGTTCCCTATGTCCGCTCTCCCCGGGCCCCGCGTTCACTATGTCCGCTCTCTCCCCGGGCCCCGCGTTCACTATGTCCGCTCTCCCCGGGCCCCGCGTTCACTATATCCGCCTTTTTTACACAATGCAGAGGATTAACCCCTTAGTTTCCACAGTGAGTATAACAAGCATGCTTTACTGTATATACAGACTGATTGGACTGCTGGGGGTTTAGTAACACTTCAATCTTTAATGTAAAACTAATTTTTTTTTTTTTTTTAAAGTGTTTTGTGTGTGTGGGGGGGTTTTTTTTTGGCTGTCTGTCTCTCTCTCTCTCTCTCTCTTCCACTTGGTGAACATTGCATCTGGTTCAGGGAGAGATGATGGCAGATCCAAAATCCATCACTAGAATTAGGGTGAGGGGAAATCTATCAATGGAGACACTGGTTTTGGTGACAACTGTTTGAGGGCATTTTTTTTTTAAATCCCCATTGTGACAACTATCGGGGGAGTCTGATCCATTATGCTCAATCCGCAGATCCGATCCATTCTGCGGGGATCATCAGAGGGGGAGTCACTGCTCCGGGTGACACCAACCCTAGGGACGCCCCTGATTGGATATATTTGTTATATTTATTACATGCATGCTAAGTAAAGCCTGGTACTTACTGGCCAAAAATCGGCCACTTTCTGTCCACGTGTACAGCGATCTGTTCAACAGAAGCCGGTCTAATGACCAGCAACTGTCATACTGAAAAACCATCATTCCATCCTCACCCACAGCCAATGGCCCCCTGTCAGAATCCAGGAGAGATCCTTGCATCCACATTACTTACGTTGATGCGGGAATCTGTTCCTTTTTTCGTTTTTTCTTCTTCGTTCAACCCACTGGTTTATAGGAAAAAAACCTGTACAGGTATGTGTGTGTCCTGCCTAATGTGTACGTCAGCAATACAATTACTGGGGCATTTTTTTTACTTCATTGCAGGAAATGCATTCAAGTAAAGAAATTAAAAAAAAAAAAGAGCATCCTCCAATTAGTGTTCACTCCTGTGTGCCAAAGGCCCCTAGCTGTAATTAACTCTCCCCTACACAAAAGGTCCCAAATTCAATTAGTGTATACACCACTAATTAGTGCCTTACTTTTGTATTAATGTATTTCCCTCACTGTTACACTGTTTACAGCTGTAGATTGAATTATTGTGTCCATCCTGTTCAACCAGTCGTTTGCTTAATTATAATATCCTCCCCACTAATTAGTGCCTTACTTTTGTAGTAATGTATTTCCCCCACTGTTACACAGTTTACAGCTGCAAATCTAATTATCCTGTTTCAGATTCCAGTCTGTCCAGCCGGTCTTTTTTGTTTACAGCTGCAAATTAAATTACTGTATTTCTATTCCTGTCCATTCTCTTCATTGTCACCTGCTAATGACCCCCCCTCTCGTCCTGCTCAGGGGGTTTAAGAGGCCAGTGCTGGTCTCTTTTTGTTCCATTCTGCATACAGTCACTAAGGGATCCCAGCTGCGGCGGGACGATAGTGGCCAGACTCTGCCTAAGCCCCATTGGAGCAGGGGGACTCCAGAAGCTACATCAGCCCTGCCTGCAACGCATCATCAGCCCTGCCTGAGGCTACCACACCAGCTTTTGCCTGAGGCTACCACACCAGCTTTTGCGTGAGTGTATGCTTCCCCAGTGTTATCTGACTGTTTATGAACTGCTTTAGAGACTTTAACTTTGCCCACCGGGGCTGGACTACAAGTGTTTCGGACTCTCTCCCTGCACTACTCCCCATTGAGTGACTGTCGTCTGTTCTAATAAAGCTTTAACTGTTTTGACATCTACTCTGTGTGTTCTGTCCTGCCTATGCTCCGTCACAAACGGCCTGTAAGGCTTTTTATTTGGTACACTTTTTATTCCGTATCCTGCAGAAGTTTTTTTTTTTTTTTTTTAATTCTAGGCTGATAAATGCTGTAATGGTATCAGATGGCTGCTAGAATCTACATAGGTTCAAAATGAAATAAGCACTACACTCACCATCACCCTGTTATCACCTTGGTAGAACCTACTTCTCTAGTCCGCGCATCGCAGTTTATTGACTTGCGCCTCTGCGACATCGGCACGCTCTTCTGCATCATCAAGCTCATGTTGGACCTTCCGGTACTTTACTGAGGACTTTGCCTGAAGAAACCTAAATAGTTGGCAAAATATAAACAATTCAATGGTTACATCAGAGAAATACTCATTTTATCAAGGCTGGAGTTGGCCTGAGTCTCCTGTTATGAACAGAAAGCGAAAGTCTGTGAATTGTTTGTACGAAAAATGAATGAGCCATCGAATCTCATAAATACTATGTTTAATCACAGCACAAAGTTGCATTAAAACTCCCAGTCTGTACGTACAACCACAGTGGTCTGTTGTTCCATGTAGATGTATGACCATGTAGCAGATAAAAGGGAGAGAACATTCTGAGCGGCATTTCCAGGGCTAACGGTTATTTTGAGCTCTAGTTATCATATGTGAACTGAGCTGATTTAGACATTTAAATGAAATGAAACCAAAGGATTTATTGCATTAAGCCAAAATCTTCAATCACTGTACGTGCAAAATCATTCTCTCTCAATTATGTATGTGCCTCTGTGCACTGGTACACACACACACATTTTGGGTCGCACATTATATATATATCAAAAATATATATATAGTATATAGATTTATATAAAGTATGTATATATATATTGTGGTGTGTGTGTGTGTGTGTGTGTGTGTATATATGTATTTATATGTGTATGTGTGTGATTTTCAGCAAGGGTGTGTGTGTGTGTGTGTGTGTGTGTGTGTGTGTATATAAGTTTGTATATATATATATATATATATATGCTATATATATACACACACACACAGGCACAATTGTTTTTAGTTTTTTTTGTTTTCAAGTATTGACCAAAACATATTCAAGCTATAGTTCTATACTGGATATGGGCTGAAAGTTCACACACTCAGGTTTAATTTGAGGGTATGTACATCCAAACTGGAGGAAGGGTTTAGGAATTATAGCTCTTAAGAGTAGCCACCCCCCCTTTTTCAAGGGACCAAAAGTAATTGGACAAATGAACATAATCATAAATAAAATGTTCATTTTTAATATTTTGTTGGGAATCCTTTACTGGCAATGACTGCCTGAAGTCTGGAACCCAAGGACATGACCAAAGACTGGGTTTCCTCCTTTCTGATGTTTTGCCTGAAGTCTGGAACCCATGGACATTACCAAAGACTGGGTTTCCTCCTTTCTGATGCTTTGCCAGGCTCTAACTGCAGCTGTCTTCAGTTGTTCTTTGTTTGTGGGTCTTTCTGCTTTTCAGTTTTACTTTCAGCAAGTGAAATGCATGCTCATTGAGTACTACAAGCCGCCATCCACAATGGCTGACAGTACTTGTAGGCATTCATTCACAGAACTCTGAATTAATGATGTAACGTGTAAGCAGAGCCCCGCCCAGCCTCACTCTTTTTTTTCAATTGTGACAGCGAATACAGGGAGAAGACCCCTGGCCCGCTGTCATAAGGTGGGGGGGAGAGGTGGAAGATGCAAGACAAGTTATACCCTTAATATGTACCTGCAGCACCCACCTCCTTCCCACATCGCCTGTTACACCCTTAATATTTACCTGCAGCACCACCCACCACCTTCCCGCATCGCCTGTTACACCCTTAATATGTACCTGCAGCACCCACCTCCTTCCCACATCGCCTGTTACACCCTTAATATTACCTGCAGCACCCACCACCTTCCCGCATCGCCTGTGTTACACCCTTAATATGTACCTGCTGCACCCACCTCCTTCCCACATCGCCTGTTACACCCTTAATATTTTCCTGCAGCACCCACCACCTTCCCCGCATCGCCTGTTACACCCTTAATATGTACCTGCAGCACCCACCACCTTCCCGCATCGCCTGTTACACCCTTAATATGTACCTGCAACACCCACCACCTTCCCACATCGCCTGTTTACACCCTTAATATGTACCTGCAACACCCACCGCCTTCCCACATCGCCTGTTACACCCTTAATATGTACCTGCAACACCCACCACCTTCCCACATCGCCTGTTACACCCTTAATATGTACCTGCAACACACCCACCACCTTCCCACATCGCCTGTTACACCCTTAATATGTACCTGCAGCACCCTTTCTTCCTGCACAGCTGCATTATTCATTCAGTGGAATCTGTGAATGAAGAAACTACAAGTCCTGTCTTCTACTGTGGCAGATGACTTGTAGTTTTCCATGTACTACAAGGGTGCTGATGAACGCCCTGGTGGCTCATTGACACCTTCTGCAGCTCTGACACATATAGCCTGTATGGAGGTACAGGCTCAAAGTTGTAGGGAGAGTCTGCAGAAGCCTGACATTGCACCTGCAATCCACTGATCGAGGGTGCAAAGCTCTTGCAGGCTCCTGTGGGAAAAAAAAAAAAATAATTAAATGCACGTTTTTTTTTTTTTTTCCTGCAAAAGTATGTTGCATTTATTTTTTTCCCCAAAGGTGAATTTAGCTTTTAATCAATGGTCACCCAGTAGCTGAATAGAGAAGATGCTGGTCTAGAAGACCTAAATGGCAATGGGACAGGGACGGTGAACCTGTATCTGTAGTTAGAAAAGAGCAAACTAGGATTTAACTCTTCAGTAATATAGAAGTATGTTGTGTATACAGTACGTGCATGTTATGGAATGTAGCCTTCCACCAACTGGCGAGTTTGAAATTCTATTTGAATTTCACTGCCAAAAAAAGTGGTAAAAACAGTAGAAAAGTGGTGATAACGTGCCAAAACCTCCAAGTTTTTCCCTTTTCTATAAAATACCCCTTTAGCATTCATGTGCAGATGTTCTATATGTCATTACTTACAGCCTCCTCTGACTGGCGCTTGTAGCTCTTGACTTTCATCTGGAGTTTGTCTATCAGGTCCTGCATCCGTGCCAAATTCTTCCGGTCTTCTTCAGTCTGCAAAAAGGACAAAGCAGAAAATTAATATTTATTAATTTCAGGTACTTATATAGCACCATCAATTTACAATCTAAGGTCCCTAACTTACAATCATTCATACACATACTAGGGACAATTTAGACAGGAGCCAATTAACCTGCCAGCATGTCTTTGGAGTGTGGGAGCAAACCCCCGCAGGCACAGAGAGAACATGCAAACTCCAGGCAGGTGGTGCTGTGGTTGTGATTTGAACCAACGACCCTAGTACTGCCAGGTGGAAGTGCTAACCATTTAGTCTCTGTGCTGCCCATGCTTTAGAATGTCCAGTCTTCCTTTGGTCTTTTATGGAGTATATTTTGCCAGAGAAGCCAAACATCATTTTGGAAGCATCTTTTCACATTTCTTGTTCCTAAGGAAGCATTGAACTCCTCTGATCTGAGATTAGCTGTATTCAGGATAATGGCTTTGGAACAGACCATTTTCTATGTGATAACAAGTGCTAGGATCAGCTTGATAGTAGAGTTGGGGGGTAAGGCTAAGTGTACAGGGAATCAGTCAAGGAAGATTAATGGAGGATGCTATTGCTGACCTTGCCTTTTGAAAATAATTCCTTGTCTGTCATTTCAATGCTTTATCTTTTATGCTGTTGAGTTCAGGGGCGCATTTGCCTAAGGCAGCATTTTTCAGGGGGGGCAGCGGTGCCCTCCGAAAGAAGGCATGGGAGAAAGGACACACGCAGGGGTGGACTGACAACTCATGGGGCCCCCGGGCAATAGGGGATCATGGGGCCCCTGTGTCCTCACCCACACTCAAAAAAGCCTATGAAAGGTACCAGGGGCATCTCATGGGGCCCCCTACTGACCCAGGGCCCCCTACTGACCCGGGGCCCTCGGGCAGTGCCAGAGTTCCCGAATGGTCAGTCCGCCCTTGGACACATGCAGCATGCAGACCAGGTGGGATCTGAGAGAGGCTGCGGGCTGCTTGATGGTGTATACAGAGCCTGACTCCTGTTCCCGGGCATGTCCAGAGCTGTGAAGGTGGTGGGGGAATATTGCCACTGTATGGGGGGCGGTGGTAGCATAAGGGTCTCTCGGGTGAGGGGGGCTGGGGTGTTGTTGGTCAATGTCAGGCTCTCTTCGTAGGGGAGGGGGGTGTTGGTCGGTGTTGGGGTCTCTCTGTGGGGGGGAAGCCGATTTTTGTGTTGCCTAGGGCAGCATGAAACCTAAATACACCACTGGTTGAGTTGCTGACCCAGAACAAGTATAGATAAGTAATTTTGACATTCACTTCCATGATGCTTGTTTTGGGTCCATGACTCAAAAGCAGACACAGCCAGGCTTTTAGTATTTCTTAAAGGTGGGCTTCTATGGCAATCGTCCTTCAAAAGTATCTCACTTTAAGGTGTAGACAGGATCAGGATATTTTTATGCTGTCACTTTGATTCAATGACTTCATCTTGTATTTTTTCTCAGGATTTCTATAACCCACAAGTCAGGAAAGCTTTGTATGAAAAATCACTATTAACTGGCACTCAGAAGAGATTTCCTCGGCTACCAATGGGAATAGCAGTGACTTGTGGGTCTACGACAGGCTTTTTATTTTTAACCGTTTCTTATGAAGTTTTTACCTGATAGGTGAGTTCCTTTATCCTCCGCTCATACTTTCGAATCCCTTTCTGAGTTTCAGCGTTTTTTTTTTCTGCTCAATCTCCAGCTCCCCTTCCAGCTCTCTGACCTGTAATTATGTGAAGACAGATACCCAACACAGAGGAGCATTTAGAACTTGCCTCAATAACATGAGCGAGTATATGGGATAATATCACTTGGTGAATCTTAATAATTCTTTCATCGTTTACTGCAGGGGTTATGTTCTTCACAATTACACAGAGTAAGTAAAACATTGGTGGACAGAGTTACCTAATATGCTGGTACTCTAAAGCAACCTTTGTACATGTATCCATTAAATTTGATATACACTATATTGCCAAAGGTATTAGGGCAGCCCTCCAAATCATGTGATTCAGGTGTTCCAATTCCCTCCATGGCCACGGGTGTATAAAATCATCACCTAGACATGTAGACTGCTTCTACAAACATTGGTGAAAGAATGGGTCGCTCTCAGGAGCTCAGTGACTCCAAGCGTGGTCCCGTGATAGGTGGTCACCTGTGCAATAAGTCCATCCGTGACATTTCCTGGCTACTAAATATTCCACGCTCAACTGTTAGTGGGATTATAACAAAGTGGAAGCAACTGGGAACAACAGCAACTCAGCCACCAAGTGGTAGGCCACGTCACATGACAGAGCGGGGTCAGCGCATGCTGAAGCGCACAGTGCGCTGAAGTCGCCAACTGTCTGCAGAGTCAATAGCTAAAGACCTCCAAACTTTGTGTGGCCTTCAGATTAGCACAACAACAGTGTGTAGAGAGCTTCATGGAATGGGTTTAAATGGCCGAGCAGCTGCATCCAAGCCTTACATCACCAATTGCAATACAAAGCATCAAATACAGTGATGTAAAGCACGCCGCCACTGGACTCAGTGCAGTGACGATGTGTTTTCTGGACTGACCAATCACGCTTCTCTGGTAATCCGATGGATGTTACTGGGTTTGGTGGCTGTCAGGATAATGGTACTTGCCTGACTGCATTGCACCAAGTGTGAAGTTTGCTGTAGGCGGGATTATGGTGTGGGGTTGTTTTTCAGGGGTTGGGCTTGGCCCCCTAGTTCCAGTGAAGGGAACTCTTAAGGTGTCAGTATACCAAGACCTTTTGGACAATTTCATGTTCCCAACTTTGTGGGAAGAGTTTGGGATGGCCCCTTCCTGTTCCAACATGACTGTACACCAGTGCACAACGCAAGGTCCATAAAGACATGGAGGAGCCAGTTTGGGGTGGAGGAACTTGACTGTCCTGCACAGAGTCCTGACCTCAACCCTATAGAACACCTTTGGGATGAATTAGAGCGGAGACTGTGAGCCAGGCCTCCTCCCCCGACATCAGTGCCTGACCTGACAAATGTGCTTCTGGAAGAATGGTCCAACCTTCCCATAGACACCCTCCTAAACCTTGTGGACGGCCTTCCCAGAAGAGTTGAAGCTGTTATAGCTGCAAAGGGCGGGGACAACTCAATATTGAACCCTACGGATTAAGACTAGGGGGACATTAAAGTTCATGTGTGTGTAAAGGAAGGTGTCCCAATACTTTTGGCAATATAGTGTATATATAAAACTGTTTAGATAATGCTGGAGTATCCAAGACATACTCTATAATTCAGCCCACCAAGCTCCATCAATAATTAAAATATCTTGTCGAGTGGGCTGACCATTCAGGTATGTAGTACATGAATAAGAGGGCAACATAAATTGTGGAAGTAAAGCCACAAAAGATAGGTGACAAACCTTTGCTTCCAGCTTTTGGATCTGTTTCTTCCCACCTTTCAAAGCAATTTGTTCGGCTTCATCAAGGCGCATTTGCAGGTCTTTGATTGTTTGCTCCATGTTCTTCTTCATTCTCTCTAGGTGGGCACTGGTGTCCTGCTCCTTCTTCAGCTCCTCTGCCATCATGGCTGCCTGGAAAGGTGACATGAACAATCTATTTAAAACAATACTTGACCCCAGTTTATACTTGAGGTGATTGTAGCCATATTAGTGCATTCGGAACAAAACAATTGAGTACTGTCCATGATACTTGTTTTATTTGCACTAACAAATGTTCAGGACAAGCTTTTGAGGGTGTCTGCCCTTCTTCAAGAACCAAGCAGGAGTACTAAACATACTCACGTAGCAATGGTATTTAAACTTTGGATAGTTGGTGAGATGAGAAATACTGGGAGAACCATGGACTGGGAGGAGGGAAAGAGTCATGGGGTGAGAGTGGTAAAACCTTAATTTTATAGACATTTAAAGTGGAATTTTGCTCTCTTAACCTCTTCATGTTGGCTGTATGCATCTATGTGGCCATTTGGCGTGTGGGCCTCAACGCTGAGTGGCTACATATAGGCAGTCCTGTTGAGAAAAAACTTACTATGCTGAGAACGCCCTCCCAGCATGGTAGCCGACGTGGATTGGTAAACTTCCGATGCATACTTGTGATCAGGGACAGACTGATATCTCATGGGGCCCCCGGGTAATAGGGGATCATGGGGCCCCTGAGTCCTTGTCCAAACCCAAAAAGCCTATGAAAAAGGTACCAGGGGCATCTCATGGGGCCCCCTACTGACCCCAGGCCCTTGGCCAGTGCCCGCGTTTCCAAATGGTCAGTCCACCCCTGCTTGCGATTGGGAGCTTTCCAATTCTTTGACAGCCAATCACAGCGTTCACATGACCTGAATGCCCGCCTCTGTCTCCTGGCTTTTAGAACTCTTAAAGGGCTGGGAGACGGTCAGCTATTTAATTTAATTTAATTCTTATAATGCTAGCCTTAGTAAATTAATATAAAGGTATACTAGAGTTAGTTATTTTGTAAAATGTTTTCGGACGTTTTTTTTTAAAGGTTACTTCCTGGATAAATGATGTCATACACCCCAGGAGTCTTGGGCGGGGTGTGGTTTGTTTCAGCTAAGCACACCTTCCTTCCTGAGCTAAGGGAAGACAGATTCCAGGAAATAAATGCTACATGAATCATCTGCCCTTACTCAAGATGGCCACTGCCAAAAGTGCTTAGGGGGTTCATTTTCAAAGTTATTTCTTAGCAAAATAAAGCATGGAGACCTGGATGGATGGCAGAGTTTGCTCTGAATCTTAAAAATGAATTAAACATCTTCTTGGGTTTATGGTGCTCATATACAGTGTAGTTCCACTTTAGGTAGAGCTGTCTTCAGTCTTGTCATATCAACCAAGAGCAGGATGCTACCATCCCCTTTCAGTGACTTTCAGCTGGGTGTCCAAATCAGGCACAATTCAATACTTCATTACTTTTTTTTTTTTATTTTGTACATGGAACATGGTTGTAAACAAAAGTTTCTAATAACCACGTCCACGGTTACTTCCCTTGTCCCATATGTTATCTATCTATCCATTCAGTCGTATCCAACCCTTGGCGATTGCATGGACCGTCACTTGCAAGCGACTTTTTCCATGAATTCTCTTAGCAATTATTTTGCAGGATAGGCTGCCAGGTCTTTCCCCAACCCCCACCATGGAGGAGATCCCGCCCATATGATATACTACAGGTTTATTTCCCAACCTTCCCCACAATGAATCTTTGAAAGGAAGAGTTGAATTGGTTTCTTACATCAGTAATGGCTTTCTTGGCCTTTTCTTCTGCATTCCGACATTCCTGGACAGCTTCTTCCACTTCAGTGCTTAACTGAGAGATGTCAGCGTCCAGTTTCTTCTTCTGGTTAATAAGTCCAGTATTCTAAAGGAGCAAAATGTCAGCATTTATTGGTGAGAAATATGGCTCCACATCACAGATATAAGAACAGCTAAATGTTTCCTCTACATCTCAGTTGCACCTTTTACCCTGCCCAATATATATATATATATATACACCGTATGTAGTATAAACACATTCCCACCCCTACTAGTCAAAGGCTTTGCAACACCTCCATTTTTCTGTTGTATAAATCATGGAATTGTCTAACAAAATGTAATTAAAAATTTGGACTTCTCAAAGTAGCCGCCTTTTGAAGATTTAATAGCTGAACACTTGTAGCATTCTTTCCACAACGGAAACCAAATATCATTCAAGGTTTGAAGGGAATCTCTAAGCAATACTTTGATATTTTGGCTAGAGTGTGAAAAGTTTAGACCAGGGGTATTGAATTAAAATTTAAGGAGGTCCGGTCCCTAAAATTTTCTTCTGGCTGAGGTCCAAATAGGGTGTGCCCATCAGTGTGCCCCCTTACATTAGGTATCCCTGTCACATTGCCACTAGAGATGAGCGAATTTTTCAAAAATTCGATTCGGCTGATTCAGCAAATTCCAGGAAGAAATTCGATTCAATGCGAATTAATTCGCTATGAAGTTAACTTATAAAAAGGGTTTCTAGGCTTCAGAGAGCCTTTAAATTAGTGCAGAACACTGTACCTTTAATTTAAATGCCCTTGGAGATGAGGAAGGAGAAGGAGAAGGAGAAGGATGAGAAGAAGGAGAAGGAGAAGGATGAGAAGAAGGAGAAGGAGAAGGAGAAGGAGGAGAAGGAGAAGGATGAGAAGAAGGAGAAGGATGAGAAGAAGGAGAAGGATGAGAAGAAGGAGAAGGATGAGAAGAAGGATGAGGAGAAGGATGAAGAAGGAGAAGAAGGATGAGAAGAAGGATGAGAAGGAGAAGGATGAGAAGGACAGTTCTGTGACAGTTTCTGTCTATTTCTGACAGTTGTGGGACATTCACTCCATACAGCGGTTTCAACCGCTGTATGGAGGGAATGTCCCAGAACTGTCAGAAATAGTCTATTTCTGACAGTTCTGGGACATTCACTCCATACAGCGGTTGAAACATTGTATCTATTTGTTTCCATAAATGACATTCTGCAGATACACTTAGAGGAGCGCTGCAGATACACTTTTTGCCGGCTTGGAATGAAAATAAGAATTCCAAACCGGCAAAAAGTGTATGTGCAGAGTTCCTCTATTTCTGACAGTTCTCTGACAGCTTCTTCACATGTACAGCGGTTGAAACATCTGTATCCTAAATGGAAACTAATAGATACAATGTTTCAACCGCTGTACATGTGTTCCTTCTGTCAGAGAACTGTCAGAAATAGCGGAGCTCTCTGCAGGGACACTTTTGCCGGCTGATCGGGAAAAATCCGATTCGCGCACCCGAAGTAGGCAAATATTCGGATTCGACGCGAATCGAATTTTTCCTGAAATTCGTATCGAATTCCGGTTCGCCTGGTTCGATTCGCTCATCTCTAATTGCCACCTTACATCAGGTATTCCCGTCAAAATGCCCCCTTACACTCAAAGTACCCCTTTCCATCATATTCCCCATCAGAGTGCCCCTTTCCATCATATTCCCCATCAGTGTGACCCTTTCTATCACATGTGCCCATCAGAGTGCCCCTTTCCACAGTATGTGCCCATTTGTGTCCCCTGAACATAAAATGTACCTGTCAGAGTGCCCCTTAACATAAAATAAGGGGCACTCTGATGAGCACATGTTATGTTAAGGGGCACTCTGATGGGCACGTTATAATAAGGGGTACTTTGATGGGCACGTTATGTTAAGGGGCACTCTGATGGGCACATGTTATGTAAAGAGACACTATGATGGTCACATTTATATTAAGGGGCACTCTGATGGGCACATGTTATGTTAAGGGGCACTTTGATGGGCACATTTATATTAAGGGGCACTCTGATGGGCACATGTTATGTTGATGGGCACGTTATAATAAGGGGTACTTTGATGGGAACGTTATGTTAAGGGGCACTCTGATGGGCACATGTTATGTAAAGGGGAACTCTGATGGGCACATTTATATTAAGGGGCACTCTGATGGGCACATGTTATGTTAAGGGGTACTCTGATGGGCACATTATATGTTGTGTCCATCAGAGTGCCCCTTAACATTCAATGTGCCCATCAGAGTGCCCCTGTAAGACTACACCCTACCTTGAGGGCAGACAGGAGCTGTGCCGGGATCCTTGCTGGACGCTTGTGTAGAGGCAGGGAGCTGGAGAGAAAGTGATCTGAAAGGGGCGGGGCGCACATGTGATGTCATGTAGCCGTGATGACCGCCCTGCTCAGTGGCGGATCTGTCATTGCAGGCTGGCAGTCTGGGCGGCAGCGCTTCTGGGGCTGTTTGAGGACCGCGGTCTGCCATTTAGTGACTCCTGGTTTAGACCTTCTGTCAAGTTCTTATTAATGTCTATGTCCCCATTGGGGAAAATCCCCAATGTAGAGAAGTGAGTGAAAATCCCAAAATTTAGAGTTGTTTCTAGGATACGAGGTGAAGGGAAATCTAATGGGAAGATTTGTCCCAGGGACAACTGTACAGGAGGGCAATGTCTTCTAGTTTCCTGTTGAGTTTCTGGGACAGGATGTAAAGGTAAAATTTCCCCAATGGTAAACCGCAAAAATTAGCTAGAGGTTTTACTCTTACCTACTCTACCCAAATGATAAAACCATTGGCTATAGATTCACTTTAAGTCTGGAGCGTGTTCTGGCCCTTCTAACTTATTTTTGTTTATTTCTTCTAGGGTAGTTCTGACATGATCTGCCTAAATATCTTCCGAGATCTTAAGATACGGTTATTGGCTGTAATGCAGAAGGAGGATGACGCACAGTTGCACAAATATGTTCAGTCCTTGCCACTTTTAGTGAGGATACATATCATGAGCGGACTGATAACTCATGGGGCCCCTGGGCAATAGGGGATCATGGGGCCCCTGTGTCCTTGCCCAAACTTAAAAAAGCCTATGAAAAAGGTACCAGGGGCATCCCATGGGGCCCCCTACTGACCCCAGGCCCTCTGGCAGTGCCCGAGTTTCCAAATGGTCAGTCCACCCCTGGTACATATATTTCTACAATTATACTCATACCCAGAGAAGTTCCAACCATGCTGCTTTGATACAAAATGGAGATATATCACCACCTTAAACAGATTTGCTAAACTTGCCGAACACCCTATTAGTATATCTTCTCAGTAATTGTTCCGCTTAATGGCGGAGACTTGATGTACAGTGTATTGTACAGTATATTCAAAGTCAAATGTAAATTTAAACATAACTTTACAGACCTGAGAGTGTAGAAGGTTGACCCTTTCAGTGGCTTCTAGTAGTTCTTGCTCTGCCAGTTTCCTTCCTCTCTCAGCTTGCTCCAGTGCTGCCCGCAGTTCCTCCACCTCAGCCAGTAACAAGTTATTACGTCTCTCGAGGGCCGCAGCTTGTTCTTTTAGATCATCGTTGTGTCGGAGAGTGTCATCCAGTTCAATCTGCAAGTCCTGGAATAAATATATCAACACTTGAGTTCTCCTGTCTGCAATGGTTCTTTGGCTCTTCCCCCATTGCTGATCACATCAAGAAGAACCAACCTTCATCTGGGATTGCAGGTGACGGACCATTTTTTGAGACTCTGCAGCCTGTCTATTGGCATGATTAAGCTGGATCTCCATCTCGTTTAGATCACCTTCCATCTTCTTTTTGAGCCGGATGGCCTCATTCCTGGCTTTAGCCTCAGCATCCAGACTTGCCTGCATGGACTCCATGGCACGCTGGTGGTTACGTCTGCAGGAGATCATGTATTTAGCAGGAAAATGAAGTAATGCCAACAAATAAATATTTTTCTCTTAATAACTGGAAATCTATATATCTATCCATTCAGTTGTATCCAACCCTTGGCGATTGCATGGACCGTCACTTGTAAACGACTTTTTCCATGAATTTTCTTAGCAATTATTTTACAGGGTAGGTTGCCAGGTTGCCAGGTCTTTCCCCAACCCCTACCATGCAGGAGATCCCTCATGGCCAGGGATGAAACTAGGACAATTTAGACAGAAGCCAATTAACCTACCAGCATATCTTTGGAGTGTGGGAGGAAACTGAGTACCTGGAGGAAACCCACGCAAACACAGGGAGAACATGCAAACTCAATGCAGGAGGCCATGGTTGGGAATTTACTCAATTACTTTAGGGACACCCTGTAGAATATGTCTACATAGTACAAAGCCCCCTCCATTTCCACTATAGCACAAAGCAGTCTCACCTGAGGTTTTCAATTTCTTCATCTTTTTCTGCTAGCTTTCTGTCCACATCTGCCTTAATCTGTGAGAGCTCTAGCTGTATTCTTAGGGTTTTACTTTCCTCGTGTTCAAGGGCCCCCTATATTTCAAGGGAACAGAAAATGGGCACCATGATTAGAAATGGCATTTGAGTCATTAGAACCTCCCCCTTATTATATATTGAGCCACTTTCCCCCAGATGGTATCTATGGTCGCTTACCTCTGCCTCCTCTAGAGCTGCCTGGATGTCGCTCTTCTCACTTTCAAGGGCCTTCTTTACCTTTTCTAGTTCATGGATCATTTTACCGCTGGCACTGATTTGATCAGTGAGATCAGCAATTTCCTCTGGTGTGGAGAGAAATTAAACATGGTTCTCATGGGTTAGAACAGTGTTTCTCAACCTCTTTTCAGTCAAGGCACCCTTGTAAATTTATGAACAATCTTGAGGCACCCTTTAAAATTATGGACAGTCTCAAGGCACTTCATTCTAAAATGTAAAAAGCTATTCTAATAGTTTTACCTAATGCAGCAACACCCATACATGTTGGCAGGGGCGGATTCGTGTTTTTTCGTCAGTGTTTTTCATCCATTTGGATCAGTGTTTTTTATCCATTTGGATCAGTGGTTTTTCATCCATTTGGATCCGTGTTTTTTTTTATCACTTTTGGATCAGTTTTTTTTTTTTTTTTTTCTTTTCATCCATTTGGATCCATTGACATCCTTTTTTGTCCGTTCCGTTTTTTTTTTGCGCAATTAAAATAGGGTTTTCGTCCGTTCAAAAAAACGGATTTTAACGAATGGAAATATTAACGGATGTAAAAAGATGTTTATCCGTTTCCATGCGCAAGTCCACAGAAATACATGGGGGTTAGTTTTTCATCTGTAAATGGACAGATGAAAAACGGACATACGGAACACCTGTGTGAAAGGGGCCAAAGATTTGGCATTCTGAATGACCTGTGTACCCCTAACCAGGGGTGGACTGACAACTCATGGGGCCCCCCGGGCAATAGGGGATCATGGGGCCCCTGTGTCCTTCCCTAAACTCAAAAAAAAACCTATGAAAAAGGTACCAGGGGCATCTCATGGGGCCCCCTACTGACCCCGGGCCCTCCGGGCATTGCCCGAGTTTCCAAATGGTCAGTCCACCCCTGAATGTAGGACACCCAATGTTAGAGGTGATTTATTCCAAAGCAAATACACTTTTGCACACTGATACTAACTAGTATTCCAATTGTAGTATATTGTGTGTAATAGTTTCTCTTCTCCCTCAGTTTCTCTCTATCACTCAGATAATTGGACCTCATTACTGACAGAGAGGGGCAGGGGAGGGTCAAGCAAGGATGCCATGCAGGCGACTGACATCTTCCATATCAACTTATTGGTTGTAAGGACGCTAGCGACTAGAAGGTGGTAATGGTACACAATGAAAACCTATGGCTTTGTGTGCCTAAAAGGCAGGCTGGATCCACCTGCTGGCTTGCATAACATTTTTGGGCAATTTTTAGGCATTTTGACAAGAGAGCCCTGAAGAAACTGCTGGGTCAGAAAGCCTATACTGGCCTTTGGAGAGCTACAGCTTCAGATAGACTGGGCTATGCAAGCCCATCCAACAAGGCGAATTATGAGAGTAACCATTGGGTGCAAAGTAATCAATACTATTTGAATTACTGTATATGTATATATAATCCCAATATATAATTATACACTCACTGGCCACTTTATTAGGTAAACCTTGCTAGTGCCAAGAAAATCTCCCCCACACCATTACACCACCAGCCTGAACCTTTGCTACAAGGCAGGATGGATCCATGCTTTCATGTTGTTTACACTGAAGTCTGACCCTACCATCTGTCATAGCAACCAGTCTGCCCATTCTCCTCTGACATCAACAAGGCATTTTTCATCCAAGCAACTGCCACTCACTGGATATTTTATCTTTTTCAGACCATTCTCTGTAAACCCTGGAGATGGTTGTGCATCAAAATCCCAGTAGATCAGCAGTTTTTGAAATATTCAGACCAGCCCATCTGGCACCAACAACCATGCCACGTTCAAAGTCCCCTAAATCCCCTTTCTTCCCCATTTTGATGCTCGGTTTGAACCTCAGCAAGTCGTCTTCACCACATTCCTAAATGCATTGAGTTGCTGCCATGTAATTAATTAGCAATTTGTGTTATGAAGCAATGGAACAGGTGTACCAAATAAAGTGGCTGGTGAGTGTACATTATACATACATACATTGTACATTATACATACATACATTGTACATTATACATACACACACTAAAAATTAAGTTGGTAATGCATGTTCATGATTTCTAAAAATTAGAAGCAAGTCATTGTTTTCTGCATTTTGCCCGTGTCAAACAGGAAAAGAACCATTCAGAATCAGAGTCCACTAAAGGAACCTCTAGTAATGCTCTCTAAAGTAACACTGACCACCAACATTAATTGTAGGGCACCTTCCAGACTCTGGATCAATAGAACTGAAAATTCTACTTTAAAAGGCACCTGATCAACTGTGACCTTTTATTGATCCATATTGTACTTGATATTATTTCCTGGTAGATGTTGGCATATTTGTTTTGATTATAATTATGTAAAGCCTAAGTTAAATACTGGTAAAATGTGATATCTTTGTAATAGTGAGACTGATACAGTGAGTGGGCAATTGGGCAGCACTTTAATTTTAAGCTGATCTTTAACTGCTGTTTACCTTGTAGGTTTTTGTTCTCGCGCTTCATGGTCTCCAGATTGTCCAGAGACTCCTCGTAGGCGTTCTTCAGCTTGAAGAGCTCAGTGCTCAGGCTACGAGACTCCTTCTGTGAAGCCTCGAGCTCGGCCTGCGTCTCCTCATATTTCTGCTTCCACTCCGAAAGGATCCGGTCAAAGTTCCTCTGCTTCTTGTCTAGGGCTGCAGCAGCAGAGTTGGCACGTTCCAGATCAATGACCAGGTCTTCAATCTCAGTCTGAAGTCGATGCTTGGTCTTCTCCAGTGAGGAACACTTGGCATTAGCAGACTCTACTGCCTCCTCCGCATCCTGTAGCCGTGCTGCAAGCTTCTTCCTGTAAAAGAGGCATTAATAAATAATTGCAGGATAACAGAAAGATGGGAGTCTCCAATATGATCCGTATCTGAACTTGGCTTACTTGGCATCTTCCAGTTCTTCTGTCCTCTGAATGGCATCTGTTTCATACTTGTTCCTCCACTGCGCTACCTCTGCATTTGCTTTCGATAGAGACCTCTGTAGTTCAGCTTTGGCTTCCTGTTCTTCTTCATACTGTTCTCGCATGAGATCACAGTCATGGCGGGAAGCTTGTAATGCATGTGCTAAAGCATTTTTAGACTGGAAGGGAAGTAAGAATTGTTAAGACCCTTTGCTCAATGTCATAGTATAAAGTCCAAGCAAGGTACACAGCTCATATAAAGGTTGAATTTATGGTTTTATCTGAAAATAAATGGAAGAGCATTGCCAAGAGTGGATTGGAAGCATAATGGAAAAAAAAAAAAATAGAAGATTGATTTTAACTGGCTTCACCTTTCAGCATTATATTTCATTATGGTATAGAATCTCAAAACTTTTTAACTCTCTGGATGTTGGTTGCATGAAGAATGATTGATTTTTTTTAATGTTACTGACACATGAAGTCATAGCATATGATCCACGGACACAATTGAACATGTAAGATCACCAATTCACCTTTGTCTCCTCTTCTAGCTGCCGCTTCAGTTCTTCAATGCTCTGAGTGAAGGAAGCTTTACCTCTGCTCAGTTGGTTGACAAGGGATTCCTTCTCCTCCAGCAATCGAGATAGCTCTCCTAACCAGACACATGGAGAATCATCATTTTATTAAGTGCTGAAGTATTTTACATAAGAAAATGAATATTGCATCTACAACTCTTTTGTAGGTCATAGATAGTTTGTATCTATAGGATACATCGTTGGATTACAAAATTGTCCCTGGTTATTCTAAACTTCTGTTGTGCAAAGTTAAGCTCGCCATAATCTAGAACATTCAAAGGCTTGTCGAATGTTGTAAAAAAGTACTTTTAAAATTTAGTTTTCTTTTAACATTTTTTATTTTGGAACAAATGGACTTTACTGAACAAAAACCACATTCATTATTAGAAATTAGTTTTGTTTGAGAAAAATGTTTAATTCTGCTCCTTCAAATTTTTTCGTCAGTGCCGTCAAAAACAAATATTGATTTGACCCTATTAAGGATTAGAAAATCAAATGGATGTTTGTGAAACAAAAAATTTCAAACTAAATTCTAGCTTTAGGGTGGGTGTACATGGGACTCGGAAATAAGTCAGAAGCGGCAGGTAAAAAGAAAGCTAACTTCTGATATGTGTTACCATGCAGTTACACGTCTCCTTTTCTACACTTCCATTGAGTAGTATACATAAATAAAATCAGTGTATAACAGCAGCAACAATAAATACATGAACACTGCTCCACCTGATCCAGTTCAAAGTAATAATACTGAGGTCCAGACCCTCCTTCCTGTACCCTTGGTTTGGTAAATTTATCTAAGGATGGAATAAAAAGCAATTCTTCCTATGAAGGCCAGCATAGTGGATAAGTGGTTAGCACTTCTGCCTAGCAGCACTAGGTGTTGTCCCCTAGGGTCGTTGGTTCAAATCCCAAACATGTAAGTACTTTCCTGGAGTTTGCATGGGTTTCCTCTGGTTTCTTTCCACATTCCAAAGACATGCAGGTAGGTTTATTGTCTCCTGTCTGATTGGCCAATCAGTGATCACATGATTGGGACCTCACACAGCGGTCCTGTACGACGATCGGTGTTCCACTGTGTCCAGAGGACACAGCGGGCACCGGATCGCGGTGCTGCGTTCTCCCAGTGAGTGCACACAAGCAGGCGGCGGGGAGGCAGTTTATAAATGGCCACCCGACCCTGCACTACCACCGTCTGGCCGTTTATATACAGGAGGTGGTTAACAAACCTCTAGAAGTTCTGAAGCCTGCTAGCAGCTTGTTTAAAGTGGCAATTAACACCCCCATTAGGATCCATGTTCAACATTTACAAAACTGGAGCTGAATGATACTTTAAAAGCTTCAGCGAAGCTTGCTGAAGGCTCTGCACATGCTTTGTTGAAGCTTGCTGTCCACACTGCTCTTATACAAGCTGAAGCCCATGTGGAACAGGCCTATCAGTACATTCTTACCTGTGAAGTGACAGGTAGTTGCACAGCTTTGACCAATTGCATTAATACCCTGAATTCTGCAGAAGCATTAAGGTTGTATCTAGGTCCCCTGGACAACCACCAGGCCCTATGCTACTGTTCAGGTTGCCCTGTGGATGATCCAGCTCTGCTGTTCAACCTCCGTGTAATATCTGTGGACAGCTTTACAAAAAAAAAACCATTTGGCACAGAGCACAAAGGGTGACATTATAAAGCCAAACATACCATTCTCAGTTTGCAGCCTGGCTCTGTGCAGGGAAATATCACCTAACTGGCGCTGAAGTTCATCCACCTTACTTTTGGCCTCGCTCAGCTGATCCTCATATGTCCGACACAACTTCTCAGCAGTGCCCTGTGATAAAAGATAACGGCGTTCACATTTTTAAACACGGGCCAACATGCCTGACCCTTCAGGTCCCACACAGGTGAATGGTCAGGTATTACAAAAGAGCATCACTGACCTTATTTTTGATGAGCTGCTCAATGTTTGAAGACAAGTCATCCAGCTCCATTCTCATCTCACTTTTTTCCTTCTCAAGCTTCTGTTTCACCCTCTGTAGGCTGTCAATCTGCTCGCCCAGCTCGGCCACGGTGTCCGCGTGTTTCTTCCGCAGGCCAGCCGCGGTGGCTTCATGGTGCAGTGTGGCTTCCTCCAGGTCTCTGCGCATCTTCAGGAATTCAGCCTCTCGTTTTTTGTTCATCTCGATCTGCACCGAGGTGGCCCCACCAGCTTCCTCCAGCCGCTCACTCAGTTCTTCCAGCTCTTTGGCCACCTCGGCTCGTTGCTTCTCTACCTTCGCTCTGGTGGCCCTCTCGGCTTCCAGCTCCTCTTCCAGCTCCTCTATGCGGGCCTGTGTGGCAGAAAAAGCAGCCATTTCTAAATGAAGCTTGTTTGAGGACTACTAGCAAACATAGAATCACTCATTGAACAGGATGGCGGATACTGCATTATTGTCACCAGTGCCAAGAAATATACGGGGGTTCTTCTGATCTTCTTCTGAAAAAACTAATCGTCAGTCTTGGCGCATTCTCAGAATTCAGTACTATTTTATTCACTGACCTGGGAGAAGTCTGCAACCAATGAAATCTGGGTAAAGCAAAATTTCCTTATCTGCATTTTTTTTTTCCATTCAGTGACTTAGGAAGAATGAAAGTGTGCGCAATAGAGGCATGGATGCTGTACATGACAGCCATCTTGTTAGGTCTCATCCATGTTCTCTCCTGTCCTCCCTTTTGAATGGAATGTGAGACTGTAAGTGAACGGAGGTCAAAAGGGCCTCTTATCCTAAATAAAATACAGCTAGATGAGCTTCGGAGCTGTAAACCACTAATTAGTCTGGTTCCAGGGGGTCTTCTTTGAAAAACCACTTTCCTCTGCCCGATCGTAAAAACAATAACTCAGTCAGTCATGACCTGTTAGGCCATTAGGGCTAGAGCGTGCCATAAAACGTACATTCCACATGAGTCATTTTTCATACAGTTCATAAACTTCAACAGGAACTGGGCACATTAATATGAAGTATATATTTGGATAGATCATTTTAATATGAATCACGCAAGACCTTACATGACTATATTCGTACCTAAAAGAGAGAAGAAGCACTCTTTTATCCTGAGTAACAAGGGTACGATATGTTTGGTATCTTTGCGTTTGGAATATAATTCTAAATATTAATCTGCCAGTTGCTAGGATGCTACTGTACCTATTGAAGGTTATTGACCTTAGTATGAAATTGTAAGGGATTTGGTTATAACCTTGGTTACCGCCTAACCCCCATCCCCAAACTGGATGATTGGTCATTTGTTCTCAGGAGACACCCCTTTGATATGATAGAAAAAGACTGACAGCCTGGAGAAAAAAAATCTCTCCTTTAAAGTTGATCAGGAGCCATCTAAGAGACTTGAAAGCCAAGGCAACCTTTTTGTTCGAAAAAATTGGACTCTGCTCAAACCAAGGACTTTTGCAAGTATTCTGCCTTCTGAAACGTCTTTCTTTTATTTCTCTGTTGTTTTATTTCTCTCTTTTTTTTTTTTTTTTACATCTTTTTCTGTAAATATTTTATTGCACCATTTTGACCTTTTTAGTAATAAATCCTATTTTCTGAAAAGTGTTCAACTGTCTCTAAAGCTTTGAATACAAACTAAAGAATCCCTGTCTCTGAAGAGTGCTACTGTATG